TACTTGGATTTTACCTAAAATTACCAGACATAAACCTTTAGAAAATGCTCTGACGGTGTTTACTGATGGTTCCAGCAATGGAAAAGCTGCTTACACCAGGCCAAAAGAACAGGTCACTGAAACTCAGTATCACTCAGCTCAAAGAGCAGAGCTGGTTGCTGTCATTTCAGTGTTACAAGATTTTAATCAGCCTATTAACATTGTTTCATATTCTGCATGTGTACTACAGGCTACAAAGGATGTCGAGACAGCCTTAATCAAATATAGTGTGATCGGTTAAATCAGTTGTTTAATCCGTTACAAAAAACTGTAAGAAAAAGAAATTTCTCATTTTATATTACTGATATTTGAGCATATACTAATTCACCAGGGACTTTAACTAAGGCAAATGAACAAGCTGACTTGCTAGTATCATCTGCCTTCATGGAAGCACAAGAACTTCATGCCCTGACTCATGTAAATGCAACAGGATTAAAAAATAAATTTGATATCACGTGGAAACAGGCAAAAAATATTGTACAACACTGTCCTCAGTGTCAAGTCCTACACCTGCCCACTCAGGAGGTAGGAGTTAATCCCAGAGGTCTATGTCCTAATGTGTTATGGCAAATGGATGTCACACACGTACCTTCATTTGCAAAACTGTCATTTGTCCATGTGACAGTTGATACTTATTCACATTTCATATGGGCAACCTGCCAGACAGGAGAAAGTAATTCCCATGTTAAAAGACACTTATTATCTTGTTTTGCTGTCATGGGAGTTCCAGAAAAAATTAAAACAGATAATGGGCCAGGATACTGTAATAAAGCATTTCAAAAATTCTTAAATCAGTGGAAAATTACCATACAAGAATCCCTTATAATTCCCAAGGATAGGCCATAGTTGAAAGAAGTAATAGAACATTCAAAGCTCAATTGGTTAAACAAAAAAAGGAAAAAAAGAGTAAGGAGTATAACACTCCCCAGATGCAACTTAATCTAGCACTCTGTACTTTAAATTTTTAAAACATTTATAGAAATCAGACCACTATTTCTGCAGAACATTTTACAGGTAAGAAGAACAGCCCACATGAGGGAAAACTGATCTGGTGGAAAGACATCAAAATTAAGACATGGGAAATAGGGAAGGTGATAACATGGGGGAGAGGTTTTGCTTGTGTTTCACCAGGAGAAAATCAGCTTCCTGTTTGGATACCCACTAGACATTTAAAGTTCTATAATGAACCCATCGGAGAGGCAAAGAAAAGTGCCTCCGCAGAGACGGAAAACCTGCAATCGAGCATCATCAACTCACCAGGTGAACAAAATGGTGATATCAGAAGAACAGATGAAGTTGCCATCCACCAAGAAAGTGGAGCTGCTGACCTGGGCCCAACTAAAGAAGCTGACACAGTTAGCTGAAAAAAGCCCGATGAACACAAGGATAACACAAGCTCCAGAGAATATGCTGCTTGCAGCTTTAATGATTGTATCAACAGTGGTAAGTCTCCCTATGTCTGCAGAAGCAGCTGCAGCTAATTATACTTACTGGGCCTATGTGCCTTTCCCACCCTTAATTCGGGCAGTCACTTGGATGGAAAATCCTATTGAAATATATGTTAATAATAGTGCATGGGTACCAGGCCCCACAGATGACAGTGGCCCTGGCCAACCTGAAGAAGAAGGAATGATGATAAACATTTCCATTGGGTATCATTATCATCCTATTTGCCTGGGGAAGACACTGGGATGCTTAATGCCTACAACCCAAAATTGGTTGGTAGAAGTACTTACTGTCAGTCCCACCAGTAAACTGACTTATCACGTGGTAAATGGAAGTCACTTGGGTCACAAATAAATAATTTACAGGACTCTTCTTATCAAAGATCATTAAAATTTAGGCCTAAGGGAAAACCTTGCCACAAGGAAATTCCCAAAGAATCAAAAGACCCAGAAGTCTTAGTTTGGGAAGAATGTGTGGCTGATACTGCGGTGGTATTACGAAAAAATGAATTTGGAACTATTATAGACTGGGCCCCTCAAGGCCAATTATATTATGATTGTACGGGCCAGACTCACTCATGTTCACAGGCCCCATCTCTCTGGCCCACTAATCCGGCCTACGATAGTGATTTAACTGAAAGGCTGGAGCAGGTTTATAGAAGGTTAGAATCACCCTATCCATGGAAATGGGGTGTCTACCATTTAAATAGACTACAGTGAAATACATGAATTACTTGTCTTCTGCGCCTGCTTGTTGCACTTCACATATGGCATGCTGTTGCAAATGAACATTACTCCATTGGGTACATACTGCATTTTCTTTAGTAATTCATCCATTGATGGTAATTTAGGATGTTTCCACATCGTTACTATCATAAATATTCCTGCAATGAACGTAGGAGTGCAGATGTCTCTTTGTCATACTGATTGTACTTCCTTTGGATACATGGCCAACAGTGGGGTTGATGGATACTACAGTAGGGTTTTTTTTATGTTTTGAGGAACTTCATAGTATTCTTCATCATGTCTGTACTAATTGACGTTTTCAGTAATAGTATACATGGGCTCCCTTTACTCCACATCTGCCCCAATACTGGTTATCTTTCATCTTCTTTAAAAATAGCTATTCTAACAGGTATGGGGTGATAATTTATTGTAGATTAAATTTGAATTTTTAAAATTATTACTTCTATTTAACATTTTTATATATCTATATGTCATTTGTACATATTTTTTGAAAAATGTGTATTCAAGTCATTTGCCTATTTATTAATAGGATCATTTTACAGTTGTTGTCCTCACAAGACACAGCATCAGCTGCATGTATCCTGGACTCACTGCCAATGCACAACACAGATACAATGCCACCACGAAGGCACTGGATTCAAGGATACTGCAAATTCCAAAATTGCTGTCCCCAAAACAGGAGCCCCTGAACACACCAAAGCAGCATCTCTGCATGTCCCTGAAGCCAGAGATGCACACAGTGCCACCACGGTAATACACAGCACTATCTTCAGCTCTCAGGCTGTTCACTTGTAGATACAGTGATTTCTTGGCATCATCTCTGGAGATGGTGAATGGACCCTTCACAGAGTCCACATAGCTTGTGCTGCCTCCACTACTACTCAAAAATGAGACCTACTCCAGCCCTTTCCCTGGAGCCTGGTGGACCCAGCTCATCCAGTACCTACAAAAGGTGAATCCAGAGGCTGCAAAGGAAAGTCTCACGGATGCACCAGGCTACAACAAGCTTCCCAAAGACTCCACCAGCTGCATGTCACACTGGACACCTGCAAATACGGAGACAACCTGGTCAGAACCTGCCACACATATCCACTGTTTCTCTCACTCATGACCACTCACACTCAATATCGCTAGTTCTCCATGAGCCATCTTTTAAAGTAGCAATAAGGAAAACCCAGCTGAGACCAAACTCCATAGTGAGTCCTCTGTGTTCAGAGACCTGACCACCAAAAGGAAACTCCTGGTACTTCTGGACTGGGGCTCTTCTCCCATAGACACAGGCAAGGTTGGTTTTCATCAGGACAGGGAGGGCCCTATTTGCGTGTCTCCTCCTCTATAGCAAGCTCTGGGGTGGGACACCAGAGGAGAGAGCCATGTCCAGAACAGATGTGAGACTCCTGGAGCAGCTTAGTGTCAATGACAGCATCTGAGAAAATATAATTTCATATTATGTGATTTTGCCATTAAAATTACTTAGCAAGTATTTCATTTATTTTTTACATATTTGTACAAATAGAAATATGACTGCATTAAGCAAACTAACTGTTGCATTTTAGAATCTACCAAAAAATTGAGATAGAGCTGGGGCTTATTCATTGTACATTCAGAAATATCTGACTTTTTATGTGATTTATACATGTATTTATTTGTAATAGCTTGAATAATATAAAATTTTAATAACACACGAAATGTACAATTTGGAAATTATTGATGTAACCATCACAATTATTAAGATAGAAAACAAACCAACTACCCTCAACATTTTTTCTTGTTCTCTTGCAACTCCTCCTTTCTCCCTCTTTTCTCTCACCTTTTCGCCATTCAACTACCAACCTTCATGTTACTTTAGCTTCTATTTCGTAGAATGTGTAAGAATGCAGTCATTCGGGATGTAGTATTTTTTGGCTTATTTTACTTATATGTACTTGTGAATTTAGTTCCTTTATGAGTCTATCAAACTTTTGTTATTTAAAATGATGAGCAGCGTTCCAATGGAAAAAACCTTTTTTTTGTTCGTTTTTTTGAGACGAAGTCTCACTCTGTCGGCCACGCTGGAGTGCAGTGGCGCAATCTCGGCTCACTGCAAATTCTGCCTCCCAGTTACAAGCGATTCTTCCGCCTCGGCCTGCTGAGTAGCTGGGATTACAGCATCCGCCACAACGCCCAGTAATTTTTGTATTTTTAGTAGAGACAGAGTTTCACTATGTTGGTCAGGATGTTCTCCAACTCCTGACCTCGTGATCTGCCGCCTCAGCCTCTCAAAATGCTGGGATTACAGGCATGAGCCACTGCGCCCAGCCAAATTTGTTAAATTCGTGTTTAATCTGACATCCTTCTGGATTTGCTGACACTAGAATATAAAAAGAAAATAATTTCCAAGTCTTACGTACAGCCAAAACTAAACCAAAAATTTCCCGTCGCTAAGCTACACCTACCACTGGATTTTTAACTGACAAAAGATGAGCCTGAGAGAAATAACAAAAGCAGCTAATTCAAAGAAAAGCCCTTTTTCTTATTCAGCTGAACCTCAGACCACAGTTACTGCAAAGGCAGCTTCTCCAACTCCTGAGCTTAAGAGATCCGCCCGCCTCAGCCACCCAAAGTGCTGGCATTCCAGGCCTGAGCCCCGCGCCCAGCCAGCGAAGGCAACGTCTAAAAACCTTCTCACCTCCTGTCACCAATCCAGTGACAAAATCCCGAGTTTTCAGAGGACGTGCCGAGACCAGCACAAAACACTGACTCCCAGGAGCTCCCGACGTCGCTGGCGCCTCAGCGGGCAGCAGCCGCTCCAAGGGCCTGCCCGCGGGCCTCAAGCACCAGCTGCAGCCCTTGGCTCCCCGTCGGTGGCTCCGCGTCCTTCCCCAGAGGCGCCAGCGCGAGGTCCTCACACCCAGGCGACTCAGCGGCGCCCCAGCATCTCCGCACCCCAGCAGCTCCCTCTAGCAGGGCGTCGCCCCAGCGCCCGCGCCCATCCGCGAGAACTGAGCCTGTGCAGGCCCGAGCCTCCTCCTGGAGCAGGCCAGCCAGGATGGCGCCTCCTCGCTCCCAGCAGGCGCCCCGACGCGGCCCGCGCAGAGCCCAGCAACCAGAACAGCGCGAGCCTGCGGGGAACCTGCGACGGCGGTGGCCGGGGCGTATGCGGCCCGGGCTCCTCCACCTTCCCGGTAGCCAGCAGCAGCTCATGCCGCCCACCTTCCCCTGGCCAGGTCTTCCTGAAGCTGGGGCCAGAGGGCGCAGCGGGAGGTCCCAAGGGTCCTTTTCAGAAGACAGGCTTTTTATGAATTTTAACACAATATGTACAAGCTGTGTTCATTCATTAACTCTACTTCCGTCATACACTGGCAACCTGTTTAACACCTGGAAAGATTAGATGTTATAAATAGGACTTGTTCATCCTTTATACACACAATATCCATAGGTAAATAAAAACACACATACAGAAGAGATGACCATTAATCTCGCCTCCTGGTGCGCACAGAGGCCTAGAACTCTGCACTTTCTCCTCTTCTCTCCTTCCCTGAACCAGAGCACAAACACAATGTGTGCTACTCAAGCAGGGATTTGGCCATTCCCCCCACCCACCACCAACATCAAAATAAAATAAAACACTGCGTATGAATTTTAACAAACAGATACTTACAAAATTTATTATTTTACTATCTGTAATTTTAACATATATCAGGCACTTCAGAACATCTAGAAAGACTAGATATTTCAAAAGTATACTTAGCATTGCCAATGATGTATACAATAGCGAGGAATCAAATGCACACAAGAAAACACACAAGAAAACAATGACAACAATATGAAAATGTCTTCTAAATATGAGCAGCCTGGCATGGAACCCTCTTCTTTTCCTGCCCAGGTCTCCCCTCCGTGTCCTTTCACCCACTGAATTAACGTAGACGTGTGGTTCCTGTGTCCCTTCCAAGAGTGGTTCAGTAACTCCATTTCAAAATGCCATTTCCAGAAGACACCCCTATGCTATGATTTTGTAAAAAGCACATGGTAACTTGTGGCCGGGCACAGTGGCTCACACCGGTAATACCAGCACTTTGAGAGGCCAGGGCAGGTGGATCACCTGAGGTCAGGATGGCCAGCATGGCGAAACCCCATCTCTACCAAAAAATACAAAAATTAGTCAGGCGTGGCAGTGCACACCTGTAATTCCAGCTACCCTGGAGGCTAAGGCAGTAGAATTGTTACAACCCAAGAAGCAGAGGTTGCAGTGAGCCAAGATCCTGCCACTGCACTCTAGCCTGGGCGACAGAATGAGACTCCGTCTCAAGAATAAATAAATAAATAAATAAATAAATAAATAAATAAATAAATAAGCAAAGCACATGGTAACTTACAAGACGTGCAATTTTCTGACTCTATCATACATTGGCAACCTCCTTACATCTAGGCGGGTTCGATGCAGCAAATGTGTTCTTTTAAAAGGTCAGGGGACGGTCAAGAGCAGCTTTTTCATGTGTTACGCACAGGCCTTCTAGAAAGGGCTAGTAAAGGGTGGTGGGCATGTCCAGTGGGACAAACGTGGAAGGTTCTTCTCTGTCCCCATCCGTGTCAAGGTCTGGTAGAAGAATGATAACCATCCGGTGGCCGCTCCCTATTCCCCACATCATCTTCCAGGACTCTGCTTACCTTTCTTGCCCTAAGGCCTTTGTCCCTTGTCAGGACTGGGTGGGTCTCTTCCAACTGGGACAGGAGTTACCCCGAGATTCCGAACTTTCGGCGCTGAATGGCCAGAAGAGAAGGAGGCGCTAAGTCCTAACCCCGCTTCCTGGCGACTCGGGCGTCTCTGGACCGCGCACGCCCCAGCTACCCCCTGGCATCCCCGGATCCCCCACGTCCCGCCGGCCCCGACGCGTCCCCGGTCCGCCCATGTCCCATCAGCCCTGCGCCTTTCGGACCGCCCACTTCCCAGCAGCCCCCGCGCATCTCTGCCGCCGCTGCCCGGGTGCTTCCCGCCCCGCCACGCCCACCCAGAGGTGCTGGGTCCCTGTAGCTCAGCGGGGACTTCCTTTACATTGCGCAGGTTTGGGGCTGGAGACCCGGGATCTGCGGGGTCCTGGCTAGGAGAGGCCGCTGCTGCCTTCAGTTTCCCAAGGTGGGCAGAGAGGTTCCCGCTGCTTTGAGGTCAGGGCTCCTGGGTGGCGGCCACAGCGAACGCTCCAGTGTCTGCAGGGCAGAAGCCAGGCCTGTCTGGGGGCCCCCGGCTCATCTGCAGTTCAGGCCGGAGGGTCCAGTGAGCTGACCTTGCACTGCTTCTCACGACGCGCCCAGTGTCACTGTATTCAGCCGCCACTGCACAAAGGCGGCACAGCTCACCTGGACCTCAGGTCTCTATTGTAGAGAGAAGCTTTGAGAAATGTCTTATCTACTCAGTGCTACAAATAGAAAAATCGAATGCAAGCTCCTCTACCCGTTGACATGTTATGCCGTTAATGTATTCCGGAGCCCTCCCTTTATCCCCACACCTATCCCAAAGCCTTCGTTTATCCCCAGGCCTATCCCAGATCCTCCATTTATGTCACTAACAATGAATTTTGTGTTATTTTAAAATATAATTTTAATAGACAATAATTGTAAAGATTTATGAGGTACATTGTGATGTTTTGATACATATAGTGTATAGGATTCAGATTAGGATAATTAACATATCCTTCATCTCAAAACTTTTTTAAATTGGGAACACTCAATATCCTTCTAACTATTTGATACCACATGCTATTATTAATTATATTTATCCCACAGTGGTAAAGAACATTATAATCTCAACCCTCCTACCTAACTCTAATGTTGTATTCTTTTACAAATCTCTGCCTATCTTGCCCTCTTCCCCCACACTTCCCAGCCTCTAGTATCCTCTGTTGTAATCTTTACTTTTATGAAACTAATCTTTTTCTTCCACGTATGAGTGAGAAAACAAAGTGTGTTACTTTCTGTTCCTGGCTTATTTCATTTTGCATAATGTCCTCTAGTTCCATCCTCATTGCCACAAATGACAGGATTTCCCTTCTTATGGATGATAGTATTTCATCATGTATCTGCACCACACTATCTTTAACCATTCATCTCTTTTCCAACACCTGGTTTGATATCATATCTTGGCTCTTGTGAAAGGTCCTGCCATATACATCTGGGTGCAGAAATCTCTGATATAATGATGTTCTTTGGATCAATTTGCAGTAGTGGAATTGCTGGATCATATAGTAGTTGTGTTTGCAGTTTTCTGAGGTACCTCCACACTGCTCTCCATAGTGACTGTACTAGTTTACATTTTCTCCAACAATGTATAAAAGTTTTCTTTTCTCTGAATCCTTACCAGCATTTGTTAGTGTTTATTTTTCTTTTTTGATAACAGACATTTTAACTGAGGTGAGATGATACCTTCTACCATTCTGCAGGTTGGTTGTTCACCATGTTGATTATTTCATTTTCTGTGCAGATTTTTAGTTCAGTTAAATCCCATTTGTCTATTTTTGTTTTCATTCTAGTTGCTTTTGAAGTCTTAGTCATATATATATATATATATATATATATATATATATATTTGCCTAAGTCAATTATCCTTTTTCCTACATTTTCTTCAAGTATTTTTATAGTTTCAGTTTATACATTTAAATATCACATCCATATTCAGTTAATTTTTGTCTATGGTGAGATAGAAGTCTGGTTTTCTTCTTCTACATGTGGATATCCAATTTTCCCAGCACCACTTACTGAATACAGGGTTGTTTCTCCAATGTATATTTTTTTCCAGTTTTGTCAAAGAACAGTACGTTGTACACATTTAGCTTTATTTCTGGGCTCTGTAGGCCGTTACATTAATCTTTTTTTTTTTAATACCAGTATTAAGCTGTCTTTCTTGCTATATCTGTGTAGTACAATTTGAAGTCAAAGAATGCAGTACTTCCAGCTTCGTTTCTATTTCTTAGGATTGCTTTCGCTATTTAGGCTTTTTTGATTCTGTATAAATTTTAGGATATTAAAAAATATATAGAATCAATTATTTCATTTCCTTGATAGAAATTGCGTTGAATCTATATATTGCTTTGGGCAGTGTATTAGTCTATTCTGCATTGCTATAAATTAATAATTGAGGTTAATTTATAAGAAAAGAGACTTATTTGTCTGACAGTTCTGCAAGCTGTATGAGAAGCGTGGCACCAGCATCTGCTTCTTGTGAGGGTCTCAGGAAACTTACAATCATGGTGGAAGGCAAAGGGGAAGCAGGCTATGTCACGTGGTGAAAGGGGGAGCATGAGAGAGAAGGAAGGTTGCCAGACCCTTTTGAACAATCAGATGTCACATTAGCTAATACATAAACAATTAACTAATTACCATAGGGTGGACACCAAGCCATTTCTGAAGAACCTTTCCCCATGACCCAAAACCTCCCTATTTTATGCAAATAGTATTGAATCTGTAAATTGCTTTGGACAGTATGACAATTTTTACAATATTGATTCTTCCAATCCATGATCATGAAATGTTTTCCCATTTATTTGTGTCATTTATTATTTGTTTCTGCTGTGTTTTATAGTTCGCCTTGTAGAGATCTTTCAATTGTTTGTTACCTGTGTTTCCAGGCATTTCACTTTTTGTGTGTGAATACTGTAAATGGGGTAGGATTGTATTCTTGATTTCACTCCCAGCTTGGAAGTAGTTGGGGTATAGAAATGCTAGTGATTTTTGTACATTGATTTTGTATCCAGACACTTTACCAAAGTTGTTTATCTATTCTAGAATTATTTTGGCAGAGACTTTATAATTTTCTAGGCATAGAATTATATCATCAGTTTGGATAGACACATTGACTTCTTTTCCTATTCGGATGCTGTATTAGCCTATTTGCACACTGTAAAGAAACACCCCAGACTGTGTAACTTATAAAGATTTTTAATTGTCTCATGGTTCTGCAGGCTGTGCAGGTAGCATGGCTGGGGAGGCCTCAGGAACCTGACAATCATGGCATAAAAGGAAGCATCATGTCTTATACGGCTGGAGCAGGAGAAAGACAGTAGGGAGGTGCCACGTACCTTGAAACCAGATTTCCTGAGGGCTCTATCATGAGAGCAGCCCAAGAGAGGGAAACCCATTCCCATGACAGAATCACCTTTGTCCAGATACCACTTCCAACACTGGGAATTACAATCTGTCATGAAATTTGGGTGGGGACACAAATACAAACCGTATCAGCTCCCCTTTATTGTTGCTATTGCCTGGTTGCTCTCACTAGGATTTCCAGTGCTATGTTCAATAGGAGTGGTGAGAGGACATCCTTGTCTTGTTCAAGTTCTCAAGGGGTTTGAGCTTTTGCTGATTCAGTATAATGTTGACTGTTGGCTTGTCATCGATGGCTCTTAGAATTTTGTGGGGTTTATTTGATACTCAGTCTGTTGAGAGTTTTTATTATGAGAGGATGTTGGATCCTATCAAAGCTTTCTCAGCATCTATTGAGATAATCATATGGCTTTTGCTTTTATCCTGCTTACATGATGAATCAGTTACTGATTCTGTGGATGTTGAATGACCTTGCCTTCCAGGGCTAAAGCCCACTTGATCACGATGTATCACATTTTAAAGTGCTTCTGGATTCTATTTGCAAGTATTTTGTTGAGAACTTTTAGGTCTATGTTCATCAGGAATATTCATCTCATATTTTCTTTTTAAATTAAGTGTCTTTCCCTGATTTTGCATGCTAACAACACTCAGTGAAGAAAGGACAGTCTCCTCAATAAATGATGTAAAAACTAAAAATCCAATTGTAAAATCAATAAAATTAGACCTTCTGTAACACCATACACAAAAATCAACTAAAAATGAACATAACCTGAAGCCATAAACTCATAGAAAACATGGAAAAAACCTTCTGTCATTGATTCAGAAATGATTTATTTGAATTTAATATCAAAAGCAGAGGAAAAACTATGTGAAATTATTTAACTGACAAAAAGTTCTAGCTACATTTATAAATAACCCATACAACTCAATAGCAAATATCAAATGACCTGATAAAAAGGGCAAAAACCTGGATAGATTTATTTTCAGAGACACACACATGAAAGGAGAGCATAAATATTCTCAACATTACTAATTATCAGAGCAATTCAAATGAAAAGCACACTGAGATGTCACCTTTCACCACTTAAAATGGCTATTATCAAGACAAAAGAGAATAAATGTTAGCAAGAATGTGATGAAAAGGGTATCCTTACATGGTGTGGTAGGATTGATTTCTCAATAAATTGAAAAATAAAGCTATCATATGATCTAGTGATCCCACTTTTTATTACATATTCAAAGGAAATAAAATTATGATGTCATGCCGGGTACGGTGGCTCACCCCTGTAATCCCAGCACTTTGGGAGGCTGAGGCGGGCAGATCACGAGGTCAGGAGATAGAGACTATCCTGGCAAACATTGTAAAACCCCGTCTCTACTAAAAATACAAAAAAAAAAAAAAAAAGAAAAGAAATTAGCCAGGCGTGGTGGTGGGCGCCTGTAGTCCCAGCTACTCAGGAGGCTGAGGCAGAAGAATGTATTGAACCCAGGAGGTGAAGCTGTCAAACACATGTTCTCTGCAAGGTAATTTATAAAAGTATAAATTTGTAAAATAATTTAATGACCATAGATTGATTAATGTATAAATAAAATGTGTGTACATAAAACTGAATTTCATTCACCTTGAAAAGAAGGAAATTCTGACATTTGCAACAACACAGGTGGGCCTGGAGTATGTGGAATAAGCCAGATGCATAAAGACAAATGGTTTATGATCTCATTTACATGTGGGACCTCAAATATCCAAGCTCTTGAAAGCAGAGAGTAGAATAGTGGGTCCCAGGATCTGGGAGGAGAGGGAAATCAGGTGATGTTGGCTAAACTGTACAGAGTTTCAGTTGTGCACGTTGAAAGAGTTCTGGAGATCTGATCTACAGCAGTGTTCCTGTATTTAATACTGTATTGTAAAAGTGATTTTCGTTAAAAGGGTAGATCTTAGGTGTTCTCATCAGACACACACATATACACACACATAGTATATTAAAAAACAAAAATGGTAGCTCTGTGAGAAGATTGATATGCAAATTACCATGACTGTGATGAGCATTTTACAATGTATATCTGATATGGTTTAGATCTGTGTCCTCTCCCAATCTCATGTATTATAATCCTCAATTGTGAAGGTGGGACCTCGTGGGAGATGAGTGGGTCATGGGGTGGGTCTTTTATGTATGATTTAGAACCAACTCCTGGTTCTATTCTCACAACAGTGCATGAGTTCTCACAAGATCTGCTTGTCTAACAAAGTGTAGACACCACCCCCGCTCCCCCGCACCGTCCTACGGGCTTCGGCTCTGGTCATGTAATGTGCCTACTCCCCTTTGTCTTCTGCCATAATTCTAACTTTCCTGAGTCTCCTCAGAAGGAGAAGCCACTGCACTTCCTGTAAAGCCTGCAGAACTTTGACCCAATTAAATATCTTTTTTTAATTAATCAGTCTCAGGCATTTCTTTATACCAGTGTACAAATGAACTAATACAACATCAAAACATCAAGCGGGGCATCTTAAACATATATTATTAAAATATTTTAATCATACCTCAATGCAACTGAAAAAATTTAAACTTACCCTTAGAATAAATACATACTGTAGGCTGGGCGCAATGGCTTATACCTGTAATCCCAGCACTTTGGGAGGCCGAAGTGGGCAGATCACGAGGTCAGGAGATGAGACCATCCTGACTAACACGGTGTAACCCCCTCTCTACTAAAATTACAAAAAATTAGCCTGGCGTGGTGGCGGGCACCTGTATTCCCAGCCACTTGGGAGGCTGAGGGAGGAGAATGGTGTGAACCCTTGAGGAGGACCTTGCGGTGAGCTGAGATCACGCCACTGCACTCCAGCCTGGGTGACAGAGTGATACTCGGTCTCAAAAAACAAAAACATATATATATGCATATATGTATACACACATCAGACACACACATATACACACACGTAGTAGATTTAAAAAAAATAAAATGGTAGCTTGGTGAGGAGATGGATATACAAATTACCTTGACTATGATGAACATTTTACAATGTATATCTGATGTGGTTTGGGTCTGTGTCCTGTCCCAAATCTCATGTTGTATTATAATCCTCAATTGTGAAGGTGGGACCTGATGGTCCCTTTATATTTATATAAATAAATATACTTCATATTTTTTCAATAAAAATGAGAGAACATAGGAAAATTTACAGTAAGATGTTTGTAACAGCTCTGCTTATAATATTCACAACTGGAAATAAATTTAAAGTTCATTGACAGGAAAATAAATCATTGTCATTTATTTACTTAATGGACTGATTTAGATATAAAATCTCTCTCATTTCTCTCTTTCTCTCCATACATACAAGAAAACTTTGAGGTTTCATATCAGAGTCAGTCCATTAATTGAATAAATGGCAATATGTTGATCTAATTTTATACATTAAATAGCATGAATTAACCTCAAAAATAGAAAAGTAGCCCCTTACTAATAAAAGGTCTATAATGTTTGATTAAATTTCTATGAAGTTCAAAACAGAAAAAAATTAGATCTATAGTGTCAGAAATCAAAACCTTTCCCCCATGTAGGAGTGGACCGCAGGCACAGAGAAAGATGTGTTGTGGGTATGGACTTGCTCTTTAGGCTACCTTAGGTGTTGGGGACAAGGGTATTCACATTTGCCAGAAACTCTCTAGTGATATATTTCAGATCTATGAATTTTTTTCTTATGTGTAAATTTTATCTCATAAAAAAAAGTGAATAGTTTAAAATTCACCAAATAGTACAAGTAATATTAAAACCGTATCCAAAATATGAACATTAGTACATGAATTAATAAAGTGCATTCAAGCACACCTACTAAAGTTAAATACTAGAAATCAAAAATATGGTAACACCTGAAACTTAATAATTAATAAGCACACATTTCATATAGAAGGAAAAAATAGTCAAGACATGTGGAACATGTATTTTTTCAATCAAATGTCACTAAATTATTTATACAATATTTTAAACTGTGTAATTAGTATAAATTACTAATATTTTGTGTGATATTACAACTGAGAACAACTTTAAAAGAAAAAAGGACATTTGAGAGCACATGAACTAAATTGAATGTATTTTCAATGTTGGTTCAACTATTATACTTCTAATAATGCCCCGGTTTTGATTGGGGCTTTGGAAAAAAATAATTCTTTTTTTTATTGAACAAATATTTATTAAGCAAATACCTTGCGTCAGGCATTGTGCTAGGCACCCTCACTGTGTGCTGTTCCCACACCACAATCATCTGCTCAGAAATTAAAACCAAGAGAAGGAATATTGTCGCAACCATACAAATTGGGGGGCACGGGGCAATATCGTGGATGGAGGCGATTCCCAGGCCAGAAAATACACCCACCAGAAACCTGTTTTCTATCTCTTGATAAGTCTCCATTAAGCAATTGTTTCAAAGCATCCTAGCGCCATCTGGTCTCACAAACACACTTGGGACTCACGGTCGGGTGGTGAGCCTTGTCTAGCCCTCGTTACTGGTGCCCAGCTTGGAGAGGCCTGGGCGGAAGTCACGCACGTCATGGATCTTCCTGTCCAGCACCTCCAGGAAGCTCTTCACCTCCACCTCCAGGTGGCGCTGTCGGGATTGGCTCTCCTCAGCTTCTGTCTTTAGGGAACGCACTTTGTCAGGTTTTGATCTTCTCTCTGCGGCCTCCATCTTCTCAGAGACACACTCGCGCTCTGACCTGAGCTGAGGTGTGAGTTCACTTTGTTT